AATGTTGGTGTGTGAAACACAGAATCTCTAAGTCAGTGAATTTAAAGGTGAGAATAACATTCTTTTTCTAAGTGATTATCAAAACCCGTTTGTGATTACATAAAACAGTTCAAACAATATATGTTTACTTCAATACAGTGTAGAATCATATATTTTTACTTCAATACACAGCCTTAATTAGATCAGCCATAGAATACGGACTAATAGTGTATGGTTCAGCTGCATACTCTTCTCTTCAAAAATTAGATAGAGTCCAGGCACAAGCACTACGGATATGCTGTGGGGCAGTCAGATCTACACCAGTGTCGGCACTTCAGGTAGAGGTCGGAGAAATACCAATTTTTTTGAGGAGAAAACAGTTAATTGTTAATTACTGGGCAAATCTACAGGGCCATAAAGATACTCACCCTACTAAACAAACTGTAAAAACAAGTTGGGAAAGTAACAAAATTAAAAAAGAAAGTTTTTGTGTTTGTGTTTCGGAATTATGTAAGGAATTCAAAGTTAAAGAATGGAATATTAGTCCGACGGTGTTGTTATCAGCTGTTCCACCATGGTTGCTACCTCAACCTATAGTAGATTTATCATTATTGAAACGGTTACATTCAATGAAAAACAAAATTAATGTACAGGCTTATGTGAACACTGTTCTACATTCCACTCAATACTTTCAAGTGACGTGATTCAAGATGGCGCCTGTGTCGGCTCGCCGCTCGCTAAGCTCTCTAACTTTAGCTGTCCTGTTTTTGTTTTATGTTTGTCAGAATGTCTCTGCTCTGCTCGTTTATGATCACCAAGCTCTCCTCCACCTCAGACCCTCACTGGAGTTGATATTGCTGCCCAAACCGACATCTGGCAACCATAAATCGTCCCCCCCCCCCTCTACTGTCGGATATTCCCACCTACCTGCGCCAGTCGCCCTGCATCCTGCCTCGCCGAAAGCGCTTTCGACGACGGGGAAAGCGTGGTGGTGCACTGGTCCATCTGAAGGCATACCTGACGGCTTCTTCTGTGAATTATCCACGCCTCGGATGTCACGGCCCTCCCGCTGCACGCCAAGTGAGAGATCGGTGGATTCGCCCCGTTTTTCCGGAGCTCCGGACTCTGATGGGCCCGCTGGCAGCTCCTCCTGCCCGACTGACTGCTCCCGGCCCGCGCGGCGTTCAACACGCACATCTTCGTCAGCTGAGACGCACTACACCTTCGGCAAGCCCGGAGCGAAAACTTTGCATGGCTTTGCTAAATGCTAGGTCGATAGCAAACAAAACGTTCCTGCTAAACGACTTCTTCACCTCTCGTGAACTGGATTTTATGTTCCTGACGGAGACCTGGGCTCACGCTGGCGAGTATACACCGTTCTCTGAACTTCTTCCTCCTGACTGTACATTCTTCAGTTCCCCCCGTGCCACTGGCCATGGTGGGGGCATAGCATCAGTGTTTAGAGCTAACCTCCAATGCTGATTGCTTCACCCTGTATCTAGCTATGCCAGCTTTGAGTTGCAGCTTTTTGAACTGAACCCGGCCTCGCCTATACTCTGCGCAGTCGTGTATCGTCCGCCAAAGTGTAATAAGGATTTCATAAATGACTTTTCTGACTTTCTGTCCGGGATCATGGTGAAATATGATCGTGTTTTGATCTCCGGAGACTTCAATGTCCATGTGTGTTGCGAGTCCAAACCTCTGGTTAGGGACTTTTTAAATCTCCTTGATTCCTTTGGTCTCGTTCAGTCCGTGGCTGGCCCAACACACGAAAAAGGACACACTTTGGACTTAGTATTATCGTTTGGACTGTCTGTATCTGTGGATGAAATATGTGCAGCAACGCGTATCTCAGACCATTTACCGGTTCTGTTTACAACCTCCATCCCTTCCGCAGGAGTCGAATCACGTGCCCCTGCGCGTCGTCTGCGTTCGATTAACCCCTTGACTGCCTCACAGTTCTCTGATGTTTTTAATGCTTCTCCATGTCTCCTTAGAAATCCTTCGTGCTTGCCTTTCTGACTACCAGACGGCAGTCAAAGCAGCCAAAACAGAGCACATTTATCTGTTAATCTCCAAAAACAGCCATAAACCTCAGGTTCTTTTTAATGTCCTCAACTCGATCATTAATCCCTGTGATGTTTCTTCTATTGTCCCATCGACTACTCTCTGTGATAAGTTTCTTACATTTTTTATTGAAAAAGTATCTGCTCTTAGGCTAGCCCACACTAGTGCTACCCCAGATCCTGCTCCTTTTCTGTGCCCTGCTGTCCTCGACCACTTTGAGCCTGTATCCCTCTCTGCTCTCTCGGATGTAGTCAAGCACCTGCGGCCGACAAACTGCACCTCAGACAGCATTCCCTCTCGCCTTCTCAGAGATGTTTTAGGATCAGTTGGAGCAAGTATTTTATTACTTATAAATACCTCTCTTAGCTCAGGGTGTGTCCCAGCTGCCTTCAAACATGCCGTGGTTAAGCCACTCCTTAAAAAGAAAAATCTCGACCCCTCCATTCTCGCAAATTTTAGGCCCATCTCCCAGCTACCTTTTTTATCAAAAGCCCTGGAGCGAGTAGTCTACTGCAGTCTTTTTTAACCACGCATGGAATCCATGAAAAGTTCCAGTCTGGCTTCAAACCCATGCACAGCACTGAAACAGCCCTTTTAAGAGTTTTTAATTATCTGCTCCTAGCCGCCGACTCAGGTAGCCCAGCTGTCTTGGTGCTGTTAGACCTGACAGCTGCCTTTGACACTGTGGACCATAGCATCCTGTTGTCACGGCTTGAACAGTCCGCTGGCATCACAGGCTCTGCCCTTGCATGGTTCAGGTCCTACCTGACAGACCGTAGCTTCTCGGTACAGCTAGGTGCCTTCTCCTCTGCCAAAGCCCCTCTTACCTGTGGGGTTCCCCAAGGCTCGATTCTGGGCCCCATCCTTTTTCTACTGTACATACTGCCCCTAGGTTCAATACTCACAAAACATAACATTCCCTTCCACTGCTACGCCGACGATGTACAGATATATCTGCCTCTCAAAGCAAATGTCACACACTCACTACAGCAGCTGATGGACTGCTTAGCAGAGATAAAATCCTGGCTGAGCAAAAACTTCCTCAACCTCAACGAGAGCAAGACCGAGGTCATCTTTTTTGGACCGCAACCTCCAGCCTCTCCGGTTGATATTCTGGGCTCTATCAAAAAAAACATCCTCCCCTCGGTCATGAACCTTGGAGTGACATTCACCAGCACTTTTAAATTTGACAAGCAGGTCAGCACCGTAGTAAAATCCTGCTTTTTTAAAATAAGACTATTGGCCAAAACCAAGTCGTATTTATCTTTTAAAGACTTAGAAAGGGTTATTAACGCCTTTGTAACCTCGAGACTGGACTATTGTAACGCTCTGTATGTGGGTATGGACCAGGCCTCAATTAAACGCCTGCAGCTAGTCCAAAACGCTGCTGCACGTTTGCTGACTGGTCACAAAAAGCGCGACCACATCACCCCTATTCTGGCCTCACTGCACTGGCTTCCAGTTCGGTTCAGAATTTATTTTAAAATCCTTTTATTTGTTTTTAAAGCACTAAATGGGCTGGCTCCGGCCTATATAACTGAACTGCTCCAGCGCTACACCCCAGCCAGAGCTTTAAGGTCTGCTGACCAGCTGCTGCTGGTAGTGCCCAAGACCAGGCTAAAAACCCGAGGGCACCGAGCCTTCGCAGTAGCTGGCCCTAGGCTCTGGAACACTCTGCCCCTCCATGTGAGGTCGGCCCAGACCCTAGGGGTTTTTAAATCAAAACTAAAAACACACTTCTTCTCTCTGACTTTCTAATTAGAGCGGAGCACGACTCCTGACTATTCCGTGTGTTTTATTCTTATTTTGTTTTTTTAAGTTATATCTGTTGTAATTTATTGTCGTTTATTGTGTTTTGTAGTAATGTGTTTTTATTACATGTACAGTACTTTGGCTCGACCAAAAATCGCTTTTAAATGTGCTTTATAAATAAAACCTGATTTGATTTGATTTGATTTGAACAATATGGGCACTTTATACAAATATTTACTGATGGATCCAAAAATCCAGAAAATGGTCAAACTAGTTGTGCATTTTATGTTCCTGAATTAAAAGTCAAAGTGGGAAAGCGGACGAGTGATCACATCACAGTATATACAGTAGAGATGATGGCTATCTCACTAGCACTTCAGTGGGTAGAGGAAATACAGCCAATGCGAGTGGTCATTTGCTCTGACTCCAGTGCAGCTCTGGAGAGTATAAACAACTTCTCTTCAGAATGTCGTCAGGATATTTTACATGAAATTTTACACATTATGTTTAGGTTAGTTCATCTGGGAATTGTTGTTCAATTTGTGTGGGTTCCAGCGCATGTGGGTATTAGAGGGAATGAAGTAGTGGATCAACTGGCAAAATGTGGTTTGAAAGCAAACCAGATTGATATTATGGTACCCATCAGTAGAGCAGAAGTAAAATCTGTTACAAAAGTTGTTATCAAGCAACAATGGCAAAAACTATGGGACAGTAACACCAAAGGAAGACATTTATACCAGATACAAAGGGAAGTAGGAACGGGAAGCACTTGGGGGAGTAGTAGAAGAGAACAGAGCATTAACAGCAGGATAAAAGTGGGTCACTCTGGATTAAACTCATCATTGCATCTGATTGCAAAACATCCAAATGGCAATTGTGATGGTTGCCAACAACCAGAGACAATACATCATGTATTTTTTAGCTGCACGGATTATAACAGACAAAGACTCATTCTGAAAACTGCACTGGAACAACTCAACGTCAAGGACATGGATTTATAAGTCAATATACGAAAGTAAATCAAGAAATGAAGCAAACAAGCTGATTTTCAAATTCCTCAAAAGCACTGGTCTGAGGACAAGGATTTAATATAAACATTTAATAAATCAACAGTGGGTGGCGATATATGCTCCAAGTGGAAGCGATTCGCCATTAAAGAAAAGAAGAAGAAGAAGAAGAAGAAGTAATTGCTATTGCCACCGGGGGGAGGCAGCAATGCGCTAAATTGCGCATAGTCTGCCGGAAAAGAAGAAGAAGGAAGCGGAAGCTGGAGATGTTGTAGGAGGCTTCCAGCGTGTGTTCATGGTTCGGTCAGGGTTAAAACAGGTTGAAACAATGAGCATATTTTCTGTGACTTTCCTGCGGAGGCTTCGGCCCAGTGTCGGGGCTCCTTCCTCCAGCCTCATCTACTCTGCAGCGGCCCACAGGGCGCCGCCTCCCTGCTCTCGGAGACAGGGGGGGGGCCCGGGTGCGGACGGAAGGTCGTTCCTCCGCTGCCACAGCACGGTAGGCCTACGGACCCGGCCTCACATATGATGAAAAGAAGAGGTTAAAGTTAGTCATTGTATTTAGATTACTACTAGTCTGTACCATATGTGTGATGCACTTAGCCTACTTATGTCTTTATTTTAATTGAACAATATCACGTTTTGTCATTATGAAGCAGCACTGTTATTTTGCTGCTTCACGTAATCGAAGCTCTAAAGAATGACAGCTTCACTTCTTTACTAAATCTTCTTCTGCTTATGTTTTTACAAAACATGCGTCCAACATCTCAGGGTCTAACAATAATGTTCCTGACAGAACATCAAATACTACTCTGGGGACAGTCTTCCCTGCCAAATCCAGCGTTTATGGTGTGTTTTCTGCTTTAGGTGCAGTTGTGCAGTGTGTCGTCCCGTTGTCTCTCCACAGCGACACATTCTGAGGACGGAAAGCTCATCTACTCCGGCAGCCTGGGCACTGCTGTTCGAGGTGAATCTACTTTATCCCCTTACACCTACGTCTTTTTGTCTTTCATCATGTGAAACCCAACACTGAACTTTAAATTAGTTTTTTTTTAATCAGAGCCCCATATAGGCCTACAACTGCCACAAATATCATCTTTTATTATGCTCCAAGATAGAAATTGAAACATTAAAACAATTCATTTGTGATTTACTTCATGCAAGACAAGGATTATTTTGCATCACTTTCATTGTTAATTATATAATAATGATGAGGGTGTGATCTGTACCAAACTAGGATTTGTTCATAAGTCTGTGTAAATTGATTTGTAGACCTACAACAAGGCCACTTTCTTTGGTACTAGAACTAGCTGCGATTTCGATAGTGTTTAAAAATCAGAAATCCTTTAAAGTGGTCCCACAATGGGGAAATGAACATTAATAGAGCAGTGCAGATTAAAGGCAAATTGTAAATCAAAAAAGTACCAATCAGATTATAAATTGTCCTGGATAATATCATATTTTACAGTCGTAGAAAAGGGAGGCCAATCATAGAATACGTGGAGGCGTACTCTTCTCCTGTAACCTGTGTTGTCTGGATCTCCTGTCAGGTGTGAAGCTGTTCTCTTACAGCTCCAGCTGGGCCAGCCTCCTCGTCATGCCTCAGATCCTCCTGAAGACCGGGTTGGGGGTCCAGAGCCTCGCCCTACAGGCTGCATTCTGTGGAGTCGTGGGATTTTTCACCTTCATCACCCCAGTCGTCCTCCACTTCATCACCAAGGGCTACGTGATCCGCCTGTACCACAGCCCAGACAGAGATACGTACACCGCCATCACCTACAGCGTGTTCCTCACTGAGAAGAGGAGGGTGTTCCACCAGAGGAAGGTCCGGATCCCGGCTGTCAGCCAGATGTTCACCACCTTCTACGCTGGTGACGCAGGGTTGCTGGTGAACCCGGACATGTTCCTCCTTCCACATGACTACAACCACCTGATGGGCTACGATAAGCCCTTTAGCTTTAGCACAGATGATGTGGATAGACCTGACCAGAGCTGAAGCAGCTTAGTGGTCCACGCCTCCAAACTGCACAGTGTGTATATATATATATACTCACATTTCTACCAGGGTGGACCATCTGGCACCCCAAAAATGACTCGACAAAACATTTTCATTTTCATTTTTTTGTCAATATTTTGAGGATCTTTCATGTTAATAAAGGATAACGTCAGTTGAACCGTTTAAAAACACTTTCCTTTTGTGTGTCTATGCTCTCTCTAGGTCGTCCTCAGACAAGCCCTCCACTTCATGGTTGGCTTTACTATGCTGATTAAGGACTGGGGGGCGCAACTCCTCTCAGTCCTGGTTTTAGTTCAAAGTGTCCTTCTCCTAGATGGGTTGCCTTCCATGGCTATGAGCCCCATCTGCCCCTGCTATTTGCCCATAGCTGGGACAGTCGGTAGCACTTGGTCTTTCCGGGACTTGAACTGGTGACCTTCCAGTTGCCAAGCCAAGTCCCTATGGACTTCGCCACCACCGCTGTATGCAATTGTGTCATGACTGTGCACATTAAAGCGATTCATAACACGTCAAATTCCATAGTTTTATTATCCGTTATTAAACATAACATATTTCCTACTGTTGTATTAGTAGGGCGGGATATCATTTAAAGTGGACCTATCATGCTATATTTAAATGATATATTGTAGGGCCATACAATATATCATTTAAATATAGCATGATAGGTCCACTTTAAATGATATCCCGCCCTACTAATACAACAGTAGGAAATAGCCGTAGCACCACTTCTGTGACGTCATAGAAGTGTTCAAATCTGGATCAGTCTGTATCAGATCCGTTGCAGCCCCTTTTTTAGAGATTTGGGTATGGAGGAAAATAGAGAGGGTTGTGTTTTCTGACACTTGGTGAGTTCCCTGGAACACCGGGGACACATATTCATTTATAAAAGACGTGCATTTTGCATGATAGGTCCTCTTTAATGTAGTGCACCTACAGGATGCAGAAAAGTTCAACAGTACAACTTGAACATTTTTGATTTAAATTTCAACTGATCTTTACGCTGAGGTCAGCTGGATCTTTTCTATGAAGGATCAGCGGTCCCCTCAGAGATCCCCCCCACCATGACTGACCTCACCTTATCCCTGAAGAGATGCAGCCCCCCTCCAGAGGAAACACATTTCAAACGCTTGTATTTGCTGTCCTGTTCATTCGTCATGACAGTTTGGATCATTGGAAAGTATTCTAATTTATTCTGTATATTTCATAATGTTTAGATACTCCTCCAAACATAGATACCTTATACCGAGAATATGTTTATATTGTTCTTCCTTTGAACTGATGGCTCTGTTCTTCCTTAGAGCTGATTGCTCTCCATTTCATGGTGTGTTGACACACCTTTGGATTTTTTGTGGCAATAATTTTTCCCAAAATAAATTGTATTTTCAATCTACTTTTCAACCTTTCAATTGTTTTGTGTATATAGTTCTAAAAAATTAAAAAGCAAACACGGCAGCTGGAGATGGAGAGCCCCCACCTTCCCGACAGTTTGCAATCAAAGATGACTTAATTTTTTTACTACTGCATTTTCACAAATGCAATCGCGTGTTTTGGCCACAAGAGAGCTCTGTTTTCCAGCCTGAGTCTATTTAATGTATTGTTTTGGTTGCGTGTGATTTATTTAATGAATTTTTTATAATTTAATTTATTTGTTTTATTTATTATATATAATTTATATATTTAAGTATTATTTCACATTTCATTTGCAATGTTGAATGTTGAATAAAAAGTTCTGTTTGAAAGGATGTACTTGAATTATTATTAGGGCTGTCAGTCGATTCAAATATTTAATCGCGATTAATCGCATGATGTCCATAGTTAATCGCGATTAATCGCAAATTAATCGCACATTTTTTATCTGTTCTAAATGTACCTTAGAGGAATATTTGTCAAGTTTGTAATACTCTTATCAACATATGAGTGGACAAATATGTTTTATGCAAATGTCTGTTTATTATCATTGGAACAATGACAAATATTCTTCTGAATATTCTCAACACAACAACCTGGAACCTCTCTCTCTCTCTTACACTCTCTCCCAACCCTGTGTACTTCTCTGCACTGAGCCAGTTGCTCAAACAGACAAGCCTGTTTACAGTTGTCGGCGAAATGCCGCTCCTCTGTCTTCATCTTCAGTCAAAGCATGAGACTGAAGTTCCCACTGTGGGTCAAAAATAATGCGCTGTGATGTGCAGTCGACACGTTGGATGCGATCCGAATTATCTAACGCAGCCCCTCGTCCTCCATAAGCTGTAGCCACCCATTTAGCTATCGCTGTTGTTGTCCAGGCGTCTCCCCGGCAAACTTTCAAGCGTGGTCTGCCGCAAGCGAGCGGCAGGAGCGGGGCTGTCAGCATCAGCTGTGTGCTTGGCTTGCTGTTTAAAACACCTTTTTTTATATCCATATCTCTCGCTAGAATCTCCCACCATCCAACTAACAACAACCACAACGTCAAGCTTTTGGGCTCTGAAACTACGGGGCGGGCCGAGGACAAATACACATGCATTAAACGCACGTTAAAATAATTAGTGGCGTTAAAAAAAAATGGCGTTATTAACGCGTTAACTTGACAGCCCTAATTATTATTATATATTATCTTTATGTCAGTGGTCTAAAATGGTCTTACAACGCTGCCGACAATATTATCGTTTATCGCAATAAAACAAAATTAATTATCGTGACAGTCCTAATCCCCACGCTGTGTACGTAAATGTATGCGCTGACAGTGTTGCTCCGTGTTCTTCATTCTCTCTCTCTCAAAATGTTAAATTCAATAGCTTTATGAGCATGACCATAGTTACATACAGTATTACCAAAGCTCTGTATAGTTGCAACATTTATACACAAATAAACATAAACATACTGCTAAGAATTTGAACATTAAGCAAGAACATGGTTTTTTTTTTTTTTTCTTACAAGGAATACAGATTCATTTAAAGGGGACCTATCATGCAAAATGCACTTTTGTACGTCTTTTATACATGAATATGTGTCCCCGGTGTGTCAGGGAACTCACCAAGTGTCAGAAAACACAACCCTCTCTCTTTTCCTCCATACCCAAATCTCTAAAAACGGGGCTGCAACGGAGCTGATACAGACTTGAAATTGTTCTGACGTCAGAAACAGGGAGCTCCGCCTATATGGGCAACTCTCCACCTATCAGGGGAATGGGGGGTTGGGCCACGGCCATTGCCGCTTGAAAGCGCTGGAGACGCTGTAGTACATATGCCAGGCCTGTAAATTGCGCTGTAGTCTGCCACAAAAGCAGCGAAGAAGACTTCCCGCGCATGGTTGCCATGGTTGCCATTCTGTTTATTCTCCGCTATGGCTCTTTTTCTCCCTCCCCGAGGCAAGCATTTGCTCCTTCTGCTGCTGTAATTCTCTCCGGTTAGTCCACCAGCAGATGACAAACACCCACCTCTCCGCCTCTTCCAAGGGACGAGGGGACCGTGCGGCAGAGTTTCAGTTAGATTTTTTTTCGCTGGTCAACATGTCCGTTAAAGTTTAAATCTTCCGGACAAAATTAGAAAAGTGCCGGTCAAAGGTCTTCTTTGTTATTTATTGAGCTTTAAAACAAATGAATAACGACTCTATATAATAATATATATATATTATATATATGTTTGTTCTGAGTCAGAATTTATTGGAATGTTACCATACAGATTTTTGAAGTGATTGGTCCAGATGTCTCCATTCTGTATAACTGGGTCATCGTGTTTACTTTTATTTAGATTTTTCCAATTTTCCCAGAATCTGTTTGTGTTTAAAGACTCCTCGATTATTGTTAATTGTTTTGTACTGTGCCCTCTTGATCTTGAGTGTACGTTTGTATTGTTTGAGCATGTCGCAGTAAAGGAGGCGTACGTCTGCGTTGCTAGGATCTCTATGTTTTTGGTTAGATATTTTCCTAAATTATTTCCTTTTTTGTTGGCATTCTTCGTCAAACCAATTGATTTATTTTTGTTTTGGGGGCTTGTTGCTGCATTTTTTTAAGTTGGGATTTATGAGCTGTTCTCGTGAAGATTTGGTTAATTTGTCTAACTGCCAGGTCTATGCTTTCTTTATTGTGTTCATATGTGGTGTCCAGAAAGTTGTCTAAGAGTCTTCGAATTTGTTAGTTTCCGATAGCTTTCTGGAACTCTTGTGCACTGTCTGGAGCCCATTTGTATTTTCTTTTAGTGTTTAACAGATTATTGGGCTCAGATTGTGGACTGTTAGTTTCTGTTCTTTTCATGAACACAGTAATTTGGCTGTGATCCGATAGAGGTTGTAATGGCAATTTTATTCTTCCAATGTCCTATATCCTTTGCCATTACTTCACAGGAGGGCTGGAGAGTGATCCAGACGCAGACACAAACAGATGACTTTCCGGTCCTTTGGTGCAGTTTATAATGATGTTTATTTAGCGTTTTACATACCAAGGTTTTAATTATACAGTTTAATGGTTGTGGTGAGCATCTGCCGGGCTGGTGGAATCGGTATGCTCTCTTCCTCCTGTGTCCTCGTCATTTCCTGTCACCTGTGACCCCTTTATACACCCGGTGCAGCTAAACACCGCCACCAAGTGTTCAAAATAATATTGCACTATACATATAAATAAGGTAAACTGAGACACCAACAACACCCATAAAATGGCTCCTACAGAGGTGTTAGAGGTTTTACTATAAATGAACTGAGAGAGAGCGGGTCCAAATCTGTTGTCATGTAATCTACGGTACTCGTGCCAAGAGATGAGCAGAAGGTGGGTCTCCCCAAAGAGTCACCTCTAAACCTACCGTTAACAATGTACAGACCGAGGCTTTGACAGAGTTGGAGCAGGTCTCTCCCATTCTTGTTTATCTGAGGCTCAGAATTATGGCGAGGAAGATTAGTGGTGTTGCGGGGAAAGTTTTGTCCAAATATGTGTTTGTTACCATTCTCAGAGTATGAGTCTGGATGGGTTCCAGTACGTGCGTTGAGGTCTCCACAGATCAGCACTTTTCCCTGGGCCTGAAATCTGCAAATGTGGGTGTGGAGGTGTGGGAATATTTCCTCGCTGTAGTAAGGAGAGTCACTCGGAGGAACATATATTGTACATAAAAACAAATCATTTTCTGTACATGTGATGCTTTTGGATAGTTTAATCCAGATGTGGGAGGGCTCGGATTTTAATATTGTTAAATATTTTGAGAGT